CTCATGCGTGTCCGCTAGATCTTTGGTCGATTTATCCAACTTCTTGGTTGTCTCCATTAGATCCTTGGTCGTTTTATCCGACGTCTCAGTCGTGTCTGCCAACTTCTTCTTTGTGTCCGCTAGATCCTTGGTTATTTGTTTCCACCTCTCAGTCATGTCCTTCAGATTCTTGGCCGTGATAGCCAACTTCTCGCTAAGTTTCTTCCGCTCCAAATCCTGATCTGTAGCGAGCTTGATAATCTGTTCAAGCACCGTCGGTTGCTCCGCAGCGTCTCGACGCATCGCAGATGGTGAGATGGATAGAGTATCGCCGTAAGCTTCATCGATCACGCCGTGCCCAGTGTCGGTACTGGTGGACAATGTTTTGTCTTGACACACCACTGGTGGTGAGTTAGTTGGAGTACCGACATATCCCTCATCGGATCCGTCTTGTTTTGATTTGGTAGTGGTGAGCATTGTCTCAATAGTGGTGAATCGGTAGTAGTAGTCTCGCTCTGTTTGAGTGCTTTATTGCAAACACTATTACCTTTTATATTCCAATCTACAATCACATTTGTGGCTGATCATCCCTGATGCCTGATGAACAAGGGGTTTTTTTCTTCAAAACAAACACAGCCAATGTTTATTCACCATTATTTGTCATTGTGATTTGTTGCGCAGCTGCAAATCACTTCGAGGCTTCAGCGCTTTTACCCACTTCGCCCTCTCTCAATCTCTCTCTCTCCTCTCTATTTACAAGAAGAGCCTACAGTCTACACAATACATGCTCACTCTATTTACAATGTCTACATATTTAGAGAGAAAGACAGACTGAAAGAGAGCGTAGAGGGAGTCGTACTGTCCTGCAGTCCTAGTCCTCTGGACTCTGGAGTCTGGTCCCTCATCCCTGGCCGCACAACTAACTCTCTCCACTATACAGTGCTCTCTTTGTCTTTTAAAGTCAAACTTTTTTCTGAGTTTTCTCACTCTCCACTTCTCCAGTGGTAGTCTGAACTCTGAACTCTGAACTCTGAAGTCTCAACCTGGAGTGATGATTCCTCTGTCCAGTTCAAGTTCCAGGCCTCCGGAGTAGCCTCCAGAATATAATGAAACATCGTAAATTTTATCTCTATATTTTATTAAATAGATGGTCTTGAAAAAAAGGTTTTTATGTATATATTGGTTTTAACTTTTTTTAGAACGCTATGAAGTATCTTGTTTTAAAAAAAAAGAACAAAATCATTTAGAAAAATAACAAATAACAAATAAAGAACTACTTGCGAATTCGTAGTTGCGTCGATTACTCTAGATAAATATTAAATAGATCCTGTGTTTCAAACTAACAACGTTTCAAGTTTCACATAGTACACTATGTATGTACATATTTAAAATTTACATAGTAAGAGTAATATTTTAAATTTTAAATTTTGGTTTGCCGTTGGGCTGTTGCAGAGTTGCAGCTCTTTGACTATTTTGCCATCGACGAATTGTCGAATTCGGAATTCCTGCAGGGCTTCCCAGTTGCCCTGGAATCCTGGGACCTGGTTGAAGGTTACACCTTACTCTAGATCACTTGCCTGTTGCCGAACACCGGAACAGATTTCCCGATGTCCGGTTGCCGAACGCCGAACGCCGAACATTCCAAGAAGAATTTTTATACTAATGTTGTAAAAACAAAAAAAACTTTTTTTAAATCAATATATAAATAGAACATCTCTGTGTATTGAACATTTTCTTCTTTTCTTTTCTAAATATACATTTATAGTCGTGAAATGACCTGGTGAGAGTTTTCTTTAAATTTTAAATTCAAATCTGAGAACCTCTCGTAAATTCTCGATGTCTCGTAAGCGTATATGATTTTTTTTTTAAATCACAGAGTCAGATAGTATAAAAATATATTATTTACAAAATAAATATTTAGAAAATAAACAAAAAGGGGCGTTTTCATGTTTTTTTTTGACTTGTAGTTTAAATTAAAAAAAAGCTACGGGAGAAGGTGAAAATATTTTTGTTTTATAAAAAGACAAAAAATTCATCGAGACTTCTACTGTCAAATAAATATATATAAACGTACATAGAGATTGATATATAAAAAGATTTTATTCTTTTTGAATATAAACCTACGACGGAAAAATAACCTATTTTTGTTTTCTCTACAGACATGGTCTGGGACGGTCTCCACTCTCCAGTCTACACATTTGAACCGTGTGACTGCAAGCAGTGGTGCACGTAATATTGCATCATAAATAAATACACATGAAACTTCTAACCATCTCTATAAATGTCACACTTCGAAAGCATCGCTTGTTATTTAAGTAGCGGGTAAAAATCTGTATATACACAATAACACCTTCTTGAAACATCAACGGGTGCATTCGAGGACATAGGTTTGCACAATCATACAATCCAGTTCAATAAGTAGTACATCGAAATGCGTAGAATGGAGACAGGTGATTATATGGTTACCACGTTATCGGACGATGAAGCGATTTTTACCAGCAATGATCACAGAGCAGGCGAACGCAAGTCTTGTGCGTCGGTTGATGTAGATGACGACGAAGCTGTCATGATGCTCGATTCAGCTGGTATTCGTCAATGTCCAGTTTCCAGGACATATAATGGGATAAGCGATCAAGTTGTACAGGGAGGTATAGACTCTGTTCAGAGTAATTTAGGTACTGTTCAGGTGTACTCAAATCACGCAGGTCTACACGATGCACGGGTATACCGCGTTGGAACGAACCTAAGCTACCACAGGCAAAATAAGAATGCTCTGGGCGAACATCTAACCAGCTGTGGCGAAGGTTGGACCTCCTGTATGAGCGCGGATGAAGCTTTGCAATTGAAGCTTACACCCTGCCAACGATGCTATCCCACACTGCCTGGAAACGACGTTAATCATGCGATCGCACCCTCGGATCAGGCCGGAACGGCACTGACGATCACTGCACAGAGCACTAGTCATGCAATTGACACATCAGGTGCACAAAATTCAACAGATACAAGCTTGTTTAAATATAAGATAGGAAAAGGGAAATCATACCACCGTAAATTATCGGTTAACGATAGTGTAGTTGCATGCGGTCAAAGAGGCGGTACGGCGGCTGTTCGGGTGGCATCACTGGTAACAATGAAGCCGTGTTCAAAATGTTATGATGCTCTTTTTATAGAAGCACAAAACACTACAAATCTCGACACACAAGCGATTATTGCCAGTAATAGTCCGATATTTAGTCCCACCAATACAGAGATTACGAGTGGTCTCGTTCAGAACACACACTCGGGCGACCGGAACTTGCCCCAGGTGTCTAATGCCTACCCTAACACTGGTATTGTTGGGGATAGTTTTATTACTGTACATGATGCAGCCTCGACTATCTTTAAGATCGGCAACGGAAACACATACCACCGCAAAGTTTCAATCAACGATGACGGAGTGGCGTGTGGTACGACGGGCAGTATATCGCCTATCGAGGTGACATCAACGGGGACGATGAAGCCTTGCTCGAAATGCTATAAATCTTCCGTTTCTACAACAACTAGCACTTCAAATCTGCCCATTGCAATTGAGACCACAGGTGTACAAGATGTAGCTTTGGCCAAGTATAGAATCGGCAAAGGGAATATGTATCACCGCAAACTTACCATTGACGGTAAAGGAGTAGCGTGTGGTCAGAGAGGCGGCAAAGCACCTGTTCAGGTGACATCGTTGGGTGCGATGAAGCCTTGTTCAAAATGTTATGATGTTTCCTTTAAAGAATCACAAAGTACTTCAAATCCCAGCACACAAGCACTTATTGCCAGCGATGGTACGATATCTACTCTCACCAATATAGAGCTTACGAGCGGTCTCGTTCGCAACACACAGTCGAGCGACCGGAACCCGCTCCAGGTGTCTAATGCTTACCCTAGCACACGTTCAAGTACGAACAGTAGAGAACCGACGGGTGTTGTAGGGGATAGTTCTTTTGTAAACGGTGTTATGACTGTACAAGATGCAGCCTCAGTCATCTATAGGATCGAAAACGGAAAATCGTACCATCGCAAAGTTTCCATCAACGATGACGGAGTGGCGTGTGGTTCGACGGGCAGTACATTGCCTATCGAGGTGACATCAACGGGAACGATGAAACCTTGCTCGAAATGCTATCCATCTTCAGTTTCTACAACAACCAGTACTACATACCCTAACACACGAGCACACAGTACGAGGGCTGCTGCGATATCTGCATCAACTGTTGAACGGGTCGATCAGAGCGTTCAGGTGCACGTCCCTGTACTGCCTGAGTGGACCGATTCGTACCCGAACACTCGCTCAAGGCAGGCCACAAGAGCGACGGTGGTCAACACAGAGAATATTCAGGTAACGGTGAATTCTTCAGGTCGAAATGTGGTTGTGCCTAATACAGCTGAAGCCCGGTATAAGATTGGAAACGGGAAGAAATATCACCGCAAAGTGGATAGTGACGCCAGTGGAGTAGCTTGTGGTCAGAAAGGCACTACGCCGCCCAGTCTTATTAGTTCAGTAGATGCCATGACTCCTTGTGCCAAATGTTATAAGTAACTCATACGAAGCGCACTCTCTATTGGATCGCACTCGAATATGTTACATCTACTGGCATGTAACTATATTACGCGAAGGAAGTCCTGTAGAAAATACATCAATAAATTTGTCGCGAATCCAACATGCGTCGTTAATGGAGATGTTAACTAAATTCAGTATATAGATATGAAAACAAATCGACCAGCCCAATCAACTCTACAAATCGCTATCACCCAAAAAATATATCTTGTTCCTTGCATATATGTATGTGTATATGTGATATGTCTATGTGTATATGTATATACAAGTATATGTCTATAATTGTATGTGTATAGGTGTATAAATGTATAGTTGTATATATGTAGATATGTATAAATATATAAATAGATAAATATGTGTGTACGTATATATAGAATCAAATATGTATGTACGTATATATAGAATATATATATATATATATATATATATATGAATCTATATATATATATATATGTACATATATAATATTAA